GACACAAGAAGACGAGCACCACACATTTCAGCGCGCCAAGCACGTGCTGCTCGGCAAGATCATAACGAGCATCCCGAGCGACATTGCCAACCTGGTACTCACACCGACGAGTGAACCAACGCCATACGATCTGGTAAAGGCGATCACGGCACACCTCGACACTGCCAACGCTGACGACCAAAAATACCTCAAACAAAGGCAGAACAGGCACACTTCACACACGGAATGACGCTCCAGGAATACGTCACGATCCACGAGGGAATCAGGGCCAAGATGATGGCGGCACGCTATCCGGAAATAAAGGACACGAGGACAACGGTCACATTCATGATCGACGGGCTGAGATACAACCCCACAACGGCACCCATAGGCATGCAACTCATAGCCCTCAACCCAGCCACAGTGAAGGAGTTCGCACACCGGTACAACCGAATCGCACAGTACCAGAACGTCCTTTACTCAGACAACCCAGGCACCACCCCCCAACAGACCGGCACCAATCAGCCGCAGATGGGCCACACGCCAAACCCGCAGGCAACCCCTGCCACGTCAAATCGACAACCCCTGTCGATACCACCAACTGCGCGGCATCACTCAACCGCAACACACGGATGCAGAATGCCGCAACCCCAACCACCCGAAAAACAAAAGGGCACAAGGACACCCAAAAGCACGAGTGGCATACAACCCCGAAGACGTATACGAAGACGAACAGCACGAACAATACGTCTACGACCCAAGGAACGACAACAGGAACCATGTACGTACATCCTGGACCCAGGAGCGCACCCAACACATCTCACGCGCCCCACAACACACATGCGCAAAACACGGCACGCCATACACACGGCTACAGCCACCAACACCAGATCCAAATGTACACACCACGGTAAGACAACAATCCGCACGAATAAAAGCATACTGCTCCAAGTCCCAGCCGTGGCCAACCCGGCCATCACCACGAACCTGATCTCCGTGCACGATCTCGCAAGACTACACGGCAACGTACTATTCACACGAAACAAGGTAATAGTATACAAAAACACACCTCAACGGAACAAACCCATCATCGTCGGTACAGCGCTATGGAACACAAATCACAAAGCGTATCCATGGACACATAAAAACCTGAACAACGCTTACAGTGTCAGAACCAAACCATACACCAGAACGCACAAAAAACCATCCCAAAAAGGCAAGCCGAAAACGACGACGGTGCAACACATTGGTCCACGCACACCACAAATGCAGGAACACAGGCGACAAAACCGACACATCGCCGACGCCCACAATCCAGTAACAGAGCACCAACCTCAACCCACGCCGCAGGACCAGGTCGCACACGAATGGCACCTCAAGCTAAACCATGCCACAGCACGCAACATCAGACAAATGGCCAAAGACGGAAACATACCAACAATGCCCAAATCACTCGCGTACGAAACGACCACTATCACATGCTCAGCGTGTACAATGGTAAAACAAAGACCAGCACCACACCGAAGAATCACACACAACTATGCCCCCGACCAATACCTCAGCTCTGACACGTGTGGCCCAATCTCCCCGATATCCACACACCGAAACTTCCACTTCCTTACGTACATCGACGCTGGATCAAGGTTTCTCATCCTATACTTCCTAAAAGACAGACGACAAGTCAGAGCAATCATGCCACAACACATGCGCCAACTGTACAATGCGGGACGCACACCACAGTACTACCGCACCGACAATGCACTGGAATTCAAGTCCAAGGAGGCCATGCGCACGTACGCCGCATACGGCATAACGTACAAAAACAACACGCCGCACCAACCCCAAGAGAACTCGCTGGCAGAGCATATCAACCAAACTCTGATGAATGCCGCCAGGGCAAATCTACAGCACGCGAAACTACCCCCGCAGTACTGGGAAGATGCGGTAAGGGACGCAGCTTTTAAATACAATCTCATGCCCCACTCTGCCACCGGCCAGCCACCCACCAATCTGTGGCACGACCAACCACGCAGACCCAAACGCCTATTCACATTCGGGCAACTAGGCACGATCCCACTCGTACAACCGAAGAAAAAGCTGGACCCCAGAGGAACACCAGTGCGATACGCATACGGCAACGATCACAAAACCATCACAGTCCAAGAGCTCAAATCACATCGATACCGAACTATACGCACGGCCGACTTCCGACCGTACAGCCAAACGTCCGACCCATGCTATAGGCCCCTCAGCGCATATCGATCACAAGCCAGCCCACCCACTGTAGAGATCACAACGCCAGACCCGAAAACGCAGCGAGAAGCCCAAAACTACCCCGATTCGGGACAATGGGCCACGACACACAATGAGGAACTCGACAAGCTCGACAAATCACAAACCATCCTGTGGACACCAGACAAAAAGCTCCCCCCACGCGAGCAACTGATACCACTTAAAACACAGCGTAAAGCCAGATGCTCAGCACGTGGAGACCGTATGAAGCCCGGTCTCCATTATGACAGTGACAGAACAAACACATACATGGCAGAAAAAACATCCATACGCGTCCTGCTAGCCATAGCTGCAGCCAAAAGATGGCCCGTCGAACATTTCGATATAACTTCAGCATATCTCCACGAAAACTATCCCCTAGAACGCAAAGTCTATATCAAGCAGCACCCACAGTTTGACGGCAGCTACAAACATGCATGCAAGGGAGGCCGACTTGTCAAAAACATATATGGGGCACCACCAGCATCCCGCATATACTTCGATGGCCTCACAGAATATCTCAAAAAGCACGCGTACAAACAAGCCGATGCCGACCCGAGCATCTTCTATCGCCACGATGCAAAAGGCACACTAATCACATCAGTCAGTATGGACGATTTCATCTTCATCGCCACCCATTCAACTCTTGTCATCCAACTTTACACCAATCTACAACAGAATTACGACATAAAACGTCTCGGATTCCCGAAACAGTACCTAAACTGGACAATCCGCAAGAGGAGCAATGACAGCATACACGTGTCACGAACTGCTGCTATCGACACCATCCTGAGCAAGACAGGAATGATGAAATGCAACCCGCGACACTCACCACTACGCCACAAAGGACCATTCGATGATGAAATGAATAACAAGCCACTGAACCCACGCGACGCCACCATATTCCGCTAAAGCATTGGGGACCTGCGATACATTGCAGACAGCACACGAGGAGACATACACGCATCTGTTAGCAAAACGGCCGGAGTCATGCACAATCCCACCATCACCCACCAACAGAACCTCAAAGCCCTCCTACGCTACCTCAAAGGAACGAGAACACACGGCATTGAATACAAAACTGTCAACCGCCAAACACAAATCGCACTACGATCCTACAGTGACTCGGATTATGCCAACGACTCGGACAGAAAATAGCGCACAGGCATCATACACACACTGTACGGAGCCCCAATAAGCTGGACATCATCACGGCAACCAACCGTCGCCACGTCCACTTGCGAGGCCGAATACCTCGCGGCGTCCAGAGCCGCACAGCAAACACAATGGATCCGCCGCATGCTCGCCGACATCCGGCAACCGGAACACAAACCAACCCCCTTGATGATAGACAACCAAGCGGCGCTCAGCGTAGCCAGGAACGTCGCACCAACCAAGCGTAGAAAGTTCATAGACATCAAACACCACCATATCCAGGACCTCATAAGGAAAGGCAATATATCGGTGCACCACATACCGACAACGGACAACATCGCGGACCTATTCACCAAAATAACCGGACCGCAAAGACATACCCACCTAACCACCATGATCCGACTCACACCAGCACAAAGCCCATCGGCGAACCCCGGGACTGTCTGACCGCGCACACACACATTCGCCAACGCATTTTGCACTTGCCTGACCGCACAGGACAGGCTGTCATTACAGAGGAGTATATACACCTAGAGACGACGACGAGTAAAGGAAGAGGGCTATCGGACCCCGTGTTCACACAACCCTCACTACTGCCCCCACTGAATATAAAGACAACTGAGTAACTTTTACTTGCTCTACTCCGTTCATGAGCATGAATGCTCACAACCTTCACAACTCTACTCTGCTCTACCCTGCTCTACCGATACCTGTTTTGCCTCACTGTCATCGACCGTTCTGTACATCTGACGTCGGTTGCCCCTGTTACGCATGACTCTTCTAGCCAAGGTCTCCTGCACACCAAAGAGGCGGAGCACTCCGACTCTCATTTCTCCTTTTCTCGTGCAGAGACTAAGTGACCACTTCAGCACTTCAATTCGTCTACCTGGCTGCACTGTCAACGCACTGTCGGATAGACACTGGAGGAAGCCTTCCGAAAAATGAACCTACAAAGGGCTCAGAGTGCTACAGCGCCGGGCAGGTAAAGGCGGTATACCTGTACGCTCGCTGAGCAGGATGGGGCCTCCCACCGCCGTGTACCAGCCCAACTACAGGCCCTCGAATGGACGCGCTGCGGCGCGCGGCGCGGCGATCATGAGCGCGAGAAGGACTGCGATCGCATGATGGTGCGCGAGCAGCATGGTGGGGTAAGGAGGTCGGGGTGGGCCAGTGGCGCGGGGACGGGTCCGCCCGACGGTACGTCGTGGAGGAAGATATGCGGAAACCCGACACTCGAAAGCGATGGGGCGGTTGGCGCACACGCCGTGGATATAATGCAAACACTCATTTCTACGCCAACAGTACGAAGGCATATACGGAAAAAGTCCAGTTGCTGCCCTTTGACAAGTCTGTGCGAATGGACTACGCGCAGGAGTGAGAGGCATGAGCGGCTTTGGGTGTTCCTCGAAGGGCACATGAGGTTTACTTTAAGAGCTACTCGAATTCCACATGCTATCAAACAGACACACTTTCCTCGTACAACTGCAAGCCAAGGAGGAAGCTTGGCGCAACCAGCCGATGAGGCAGGGACTGACGGCGCTGCGTATTGGGCTATGTGTGTGACATCCTATACACCTGCTCAATACATTCTTTGCTCTAAACAAATCATAAACTTCCCAGTTTACAAGCAGTAAGATGGAACTGAACTACAGACAACATGGGACAGAGTATATGTGTCCAGGACGACCTTGTGCCGTTTGACTGAGGAGGCCACAACTGAGCTACACTCATTCTCTCACTTCTTACCAGCAGTCGACCCCCAACGCGAGACATGGACCCCTCATGCCTTAATAGTGCGGCTTGTAGCAGCATTGGAACTTCGGCCTCGGCTTGTAATACTGGCCATAGGGGTTGGTATGGTGATCATTACTGTGATCCTCCGGGCACCGTGTGACCTCGCAGTACGGCTTGTAGTGGCAATCGCGGCGGGCAGCTCCCCTGCGCGTGCAGACGCAAGGGCACTTCAGTTTGGGCGAAGGAGTGGGCGTAACTGATGGGGTAGGCGTAGGCGTAACTGATGGCTTGTGAACATCACAGCAAGTCTTTCCGGGGCGGTAGTGCTTGGTGCACTCCTGCACCGAACAGCTGTACAGGAACCGGCGACGCTTGCACATCCGGGTAGCCTTCTGTTCAGCGTAGTATCCCAGGATGCAGCGGCAGGGGCATCTCGGGCGGTGAGGTGGGTAGTACGGTACCGCACGTGCCGCAGTTGGGGTGTCTGCGGCGAAGACGGAGGCGACGATGAGGCCCAGAAGGGCGAGGAAGAGCGTTGGCTTGATCATTGTAGGTGGTAGGCAGTCGGTGTTCGGTTGCGAAATTGGATAGGTGGTGGCTCTTCCGTGGTGAGCGTGGATGGGAAGTTGAGTGAAGGATGGAGAAGAAGAGATCGCTGGTGTGGAGAGAGGTGCTTATATATACAGGATTGCAGAGGTGAAGTATCGCAATTGTGCAGCGTTGGGTTTCCAGTCGGCAAGAAGGCCTGGCTTTTGGCCCATCGCATATCTGTATTCTTCTTCCATCAAGGCACAGGTGCGAGTACGACGGCACTCTCCAAACCCACAGGATCACCAAGAATGGAGCGGCGTTCAAGATAAAGATGCTCTTTAAGGATGGTGTATAGAAAGGTGGGTGGTGATGTACAGTACAACGACGAATACTTGCATCTCCTTCGATAGATGTCGCTTTCTAGGTCTGGCCGACGTTCGTACCATGGATCCCTGAGGGATCCACTTATGCAGCTCACGGGAATGAAGAGCGAAAATGTGGTATGCTAGCCGTAACATGTAAGATTGGAGGTATGAAGGAGGCGGAATCCATCGGGTTCTTGAGTCTCGATAGGTCCTGCTTCTGCTTCATATCTTTCCATGTGGAAGAAGACATCTTCCCGAGTAATGCTTTACTAGTTGGTGGCATCAATTGAATCATATTAGTCAGTATAAAAAGAAGAATAGCGGGACGAGTGGGGACCGTGTGCGTAATTTCTACACGGAACAGCAGTGAAAATAGTGAAACCGCCTCTGTTCACTCGGCATTTATTCAGGAAAGAGATTACCAGCCGTGATGTCAGACAGGCAGTTTGTTGGATCAACTTCTTGAAAATCGAAGCGTTAAAAGTGGATGAGCAAAGTACACATATCAACGTAGACCAAAGCTTGTATTGTAGTGTTCGTTTTCGTTCGGTGGAAACAACTTGATACGACGTTTTTGACAACCGTCTCCAACGCAATCGCAAGATTTCCAGAGTTGGAAGTCTTGCAGAAGCACATTTGAAGCATGTTAGCGTCATGTAATTGGGATGCTTTATGCTCCATAGGCGGGGAGACAAAAGACAGGGGTCCACTGTATGAAGCATTGCTTGAATTCGCCTCTTAACATAAGCCCATCGCGCGTGTGTCATCGATTATGCGATGAAAAGGATCGCAGTGCAAGGCAAAATACGAGAGTGCATATCATTTTCCAGAAAGGCGAATTCTCTCATTCATTGAAAACTTTGTACTAATCGCGAGGCATCAGTTGGCTGTAACTGAAAGCTGTACGGGCAGTATCGCTTGAGAGAGCGACCAGCACTACGCTTGTGACATTCTGTCCGAGTGCAGCCTCTTCATCTTTCAGATGTTAGTACGGTACGTCCTTCTTGCTTTGCTCACCCTCACAAACTCATATGTCTATGCCCTATGTCCGACCATGGACATGTACAGTATAGCTCCTGCCAGAGATTCAGCCTCAACGGCATACTGTACGCAGTTCCATGCAAAGAAAGATGTCTAATGTCGCGACATGCATATGACACAATATGTAAAATAATTGCCGCATTGTTGCATGACGTTGAGATAATACAATGATTTCAGATGGCTACGTTATCATCAACAGCGCAGCTTCAAGAATTAGCGAATAGCCGCCAAGAGGTGAGGAACCGTACGTGGTAACTCTGAATCTGAATCTGTTTCCGTTTGGTGTTTTGATTCGCAGCTACAACCTCTCGCTAGACATGCCCAATGCTGTATCCGGATGCTACCTTGGCATAAAAGCGATGCGATGGAGAACTTGAAGGCCGGATCTATAATACTGTATTCTGCTGGATGTGCAGCAGGATCTTTTTGTGAGTTTCCGTTCGTTGATTCTTGTTCCTGTCTCGATAGTTATCCACGACGTTGAATATGTCGCATGAACGAGAAAGATATCTATTCAAAGAGGGATGATACGCTTGCCACTAAAATGTTGGGCGCGTCACCACGGGAGAGGCCAACGGAATGGGTATCACCATATATCTCACAACCGGAGAGATTTAGAATAAATCTTCCCGATTGCCAGAGATATGGTGCATGCCAGTTGTCTGGATACGCTTTTTAAAACATCCAAGGGAATCCCTTTTACCATCACAACCATTGCCAAGTCATATATAAAAATGAATCCAACGGCGTGGCTCATCAGACATGTCCGTCAATCATCAATTTTTGCGTCCTGGATATCCTTCTGCGTTATGATGCAACACTGAATCTCAAGATGTCAAATATCTGGCAGCCGATATGTCGAGAGAACGCTAATGGCACATGTAAGATACAGTGTTTTCCCAATGGTACGGCCCCAAGGATTAACCATCGCTGCCAAAAAGAAGATGGGAAAGACCCGACTCCAAAAACTTACTGCACAGAGTACAGCGCATGAAGTCATAATGTATGGGAGCTCGGTTAGCCGACATAGATGTCAAGGGTTTGGGATGATAACCAAATAACCCTACCCCATTGTTGAGTCGCTGATTGAGGAAAACGCACGGAATATTGTACATGCCTCAAACCGCGCCCGCGCAAAGATCGGCTCGCGCAGAGAGAGTCCTTCCGCGGGCCCGTAAAGGTCTCCCTCTGTAACTTGCATCCCAACCCCGCCTGTGCGCTCGCACAAATTCAGCTGCTGTATGCCCGCCTGCGTGTCAAATCGCGCTATCCGGAATGGGATGTCTGTTCTCATATAATTTACTTAGAGCGAGACAGTGTCACTGTCATGGTATGCGATGTTGCTCTCCTCTGCACATGTGACAAGTTGTCACAGCGAGTCTGAAATAGGTTGTCACTGCCATGTCACTGACAACCTACTTCAGAGACCACCAAAATACTCTCGCTGACCGTTTTCTGGCTACCTGAACCGCTTTCATCCCGTCGGGACGTGCATCCGTGGCATTGCTGTGCAGTGCAAATCTTAGCGCCCAGCAATTGCCGGCAATCGCACCATGCCGAGATGTCAGAGTCGCGATCAGGAGAATAGGTCCTGCGCGGTCATCCGCTCCGAGACGTTCTGGCCCTGGCCCCGTCTCATTTTTGCCCCTGGTGTTGCGTCCATGACTCAGCTCGCCTGGTATGCCGTGTTGTAGCGCATTTCTATTCGTTTAAATATCATTGGTGCGCCACTGCCAACAGTGGACGAAGCATGATGGAATCGCTACGGGAAATACCTGTCACTGTAAGTCCAGTTATGCTTGTGACCACGTCTTTCCAAAACTTGCACGGACGTTTATAGTTTCGCCTAAAATTTCCGCCAACGTTTTGGCAATGGTTTGCCGATTCTTTTCGGTTTTGTGGAAAAGTGGCTCAGTTGGAATTACAGCTAATCGAGCTGTTCACAAATTGCTTACGAATGTTTCTGAGTTTCGCAGAAAAAGTTGCTCAAACTTTCGGCAGCACTTTGGGAACCTTTGAAACTTCAGAAACATTCATCAACCTTTTCAAAGATGCCGGATCGCATTACAGCTCCGATCGAGGGTGGATGGAAATATTCCATCATTGAGGCCTTGCTTGCAGGATCCAACAAGGTCCACCACCGGGACCAATGGGAGTGCCGTTTGAGGCGAATATCAGAAAAATCAATTGTCAACCAGGATTTTACGGAGCCATGAGCCCTGGTAATTGGGACCAAATTTGTATGGCTCTGGGTCACCGACTCTGGTGCCCAGGGCCATTATTGGGACGTATTCTCCCGAATGCGACTCTGTCAGAGTGTCATCACCCGGCTGTGCTGGGAAATGCGACAAGAGGGCCCAGGCCCGTACGCAGGGGAACCTGTTACAGTAAGGGTATCGTTAACGGTACAGTACTATCAATCATGAGTTGTACAGTTGTACAGCTGTACAAGTGTAGAACAGCAATGCAAGCCGATTATGAAGTTCGATCTTCTATTCAACTAACTGTAGAAGAGAGTGCAATACAGTGGGGACCACGATATAAGAGCACCCCGTGCCAACCCCTTCATGCTGCTCTTAATCCGAGGTTGCTACTATTCAAGAATCCCGCACAGGATGCCCATTTTACTCCTTAGAACGCTGTAGCATCTCACCAATAAGCAGTTGCCTGGACCCGTGCTGTGACCAATTCCAAAACGCTTCATCACAGAAGAGGCGCTCGCGCCATTTTGAAGACAACGCGCAGCCTCGGCTTTCTCTTTCAGCGAAAGGCGCTTGCGCCTCTTCAGCGAGCCGTGAGCCACCGGTGGAAAGTGAGAGGTCATTTCGGAGCCCCGTATTGATCCGTGCGTCGGAGAAATGGAACAGGCGGACTGTGGGCGAGACTTCTGAGATGCGCTTGAAATACCAGGCGAGAAAGGGACTGTGTGATAGGAATTACAGTGTTTGATGGTGCTTCAAGTTGTGATACCGTGCCAAGCGAAAATGGTGCTCTTACTGCGAGATCGTTCTTATTCAAATTGCTCTTATATCGCCACACACCCCCCCCCCCCTCCCCCCCCCTGTAATTGCATGGCAGAAGCGTTGTAAGTCAGCTTTCTGGCTTTCTCTTGTGTGTCAGATTGAGGAGTCGAATGCACTCCCCTTCAAGGTCATGCCGTGCTTTCTCTGCAAATAATGGTGAGAATGTAGCATAGATTCACATCCCCTGTCCTTCGTTCTTGTGTGAACACGGGGTCCGATGACCTTCTCGCCTTTACTCGTCGTCGCGTTATTCTACATATATTCTCTCTAATGACAGGCTGTCCTCTGCGGTCAGACAGTTCTTGCATGAACCCTTAGCAGTGTACTTAAGCTTAACTTCCTCGCGTCGCGAGAGAGTCTGGTAGAGTCTTTGCACAGCACTATCTCAGCATCGGATGAAAGCAAATCCAAGGCACTTTTCGTACTTGCTGTAACCCTCAAGTCCAGCCTGCATACTGCACACTGCCTGCCCCGCTAACTAAGTTGTCACGAGGTGTTGTGCGGTTGGGCGATAAACGTTTGGAGGAAAGGTTGGTTGTTGCTTTCATGGCTACCCATCATACTACTGTACTAGCAAACCATCAGCCCTTAACTAGACGTTCTAACCGCGGCTTCTCTCATTCTCTGAACCCGAGGGTGTTCGGTAGTGAGAAAGATGGGCTTGATAAATGCAACTAAATTGCACACATTCTGTTCCAGACAGGCATTTATATTCAGTTACAGTATGTAGTCTTCTGTTGAGAACAATGCTGTGCCTTCGTGTGTATAGATGTACGTCTATTAACACGAAGAGAGTCACTGACGGT